ACGAGGCACGACAAGCTGGTAAGGAGCTTGTAGGCACGGCATAAATTTGCGGCTTAGGTTTAGAAATCTGCAAATTAGAAATCGCGTTGTGGACCTGCTTGGGGACTAAACGGTGCGGAAGTTTGAGTGGTGGTGCGGAGAGTTCCAGAGTGGCGGGGGAGGAGTGCGCGATAGGGGGAAAAGCTTGCTTCCTGGGACAATTGAGCTTGTGCGGAGCGGAGCGGCGCTATGGGTTCCCCTCATTGCGGGGAGGGGAGGGAGTGATCTGCCTCCCCTGTCCCTGGAAGGCCAGGTTTCTAGGCGATGCGTTCCGCACCGCATGTCACGCGGAAGATCTGAAATCCTCAATCTGATGTGCCAAATCAGCATTCTATCCACGTGGCGGACGTATTGGTTGCCGTGTGGAACGATGTGATGGTTGTAGTGCCGTATTCGCTACAATTACAGCTCGATAATCGTGACTTCACCAGACCATAATGTGGTTTTGCTTACAGCTTCCTGTGTTGTAGATGAAAAAGTGCACCAAGTTTTCTGTGGAAAAACAACCCAAATTTCCGATTTCTCTGAACCTCCGCCGTGAACCCAAAAATCCCACCTTCAGCATCAGCATTTCTAGCTAATACGCGCGCATCCCGCCGATTGATCCGCGCCCTCGAGCACGCCAATGGCTTCTGTCGCCGTGCGCCTACCCTCCGCCACCTCTGCGCCCGCAGCCTCCGCGACTGAGCCAAATGGCGCGGTCACCCGCCCGCGCGCGCTGACCAGCTGCGCGAAGTCAGCGCTGCTCCCCCGCCAGTCGCTTACCCTGCGTGCCAAACCCGCGCAGCCGAAATCGAAGGTACCGCGAATGCTGCACTCGTCGACCAAGCACAATGTGCGCTTAGCTTGCACGCGTTGTGATCCTCATATAGCCTGAGTAAAACGTAGCACCTATCATGACGTGAGACCTACATTATCCTTTCCACACTTTTCCCATCCCTCCCCGCTGCCCCCGTCCCACCCCTATTTCTCCTCCTCTCTCCCTCCCCTCCCCCTCCTCTCTCCTCCCCCCTCTCCTTTCCTTTCCCCCATTCCATGTTTCCCCTTTCGCATTTCCATCTCCGCCGATCCCGCGTTCCCGCAGTCCCGCGTCTGCGCCGCGCGCCCCGCGATCACAGCGTCAGCGGCATCTGCGCCGGAATATCTGGAGGCGCTGCTGGACGCGCCGCCGGCCGTGGCGCGGCAGGAGGTGACGGCGTTCGCGCCGGCGACAGTGGCGAATCTCGGCCCGGGATTCGATTTCCTCGGATGCGCCGTCGAGGGGCTTGGCGACCACGTCACGGCTCGGGTAGGCGCTACCTGGGGTGGGCGTTACCTGGGGTAGGCGCTACCTGGGGTGGGCGTTACCTGGGGTGGGCGCTACCTGGGGTAGGCGCTACCTGGGGTGGGCGCTACCTGGGGTAGGCGCTACCTGGGATGGGCGTTACCTGGGGTGGGAGCTACCTGGGCCGGGCAATACCTGGGGAGGGCGTTACCTGGGCTCTGGGGCGGGCGCTGGGTGGGTCTTTGCAGCCCCTCCCATGCCTAACCCTCCCCACTCCTGCCTCCCTCGTTCCCTTACCCTTTTTTTTCCTTTCCCCTTCCCCCGTGCCCCCACCCTCCCGCCTTTGCTTTTCCCCATCCCTTCCCTTCCCCCTACCTCCCCCACTTCTCCCTTCCCCCCACATCCGCTGTGCCTGCCCCCCGCTGCAGATCCTGGACGTCTATCTCCCTGCCTGCTCATCTCTTCTTGCCTCATCTCTTCCCCCCATTTCTCTCCCCCCCACATCCTCTGCGCGCTCCCTAAACAGATCCTGGACGTGCCCGCGCCCCCCTCGGGCAACATCATCATAGAGAGCATTGAGGGCGACAACGGACGGCTGGGATTCGACCCCGCCACCAACTGCATCGGCATCGCCGCCCGCGCCACCATGGAGCTGCTCGGCCTCTACGGCCCGGACGGCAAGGGCAGCGGCACAGCATCTGATTCCAAATCAGGATCAAATCTTCCGGTGATCGGGCTGACTCTGAACAAGGGTTTGCCGTTGGGGAGCGGGTTGGGTTCCAGTGCTGCGAGTGCAGCAGCAGCAGCCGTGGCAGTAAACGCTCTCTTTGGCTCGCCACTCTCCAAAGCACAGCTGGTGCTGGCGGGGTTACAGTCCGAGGCAGCGGTTAGCGGTTACCACGCGGACAACGTAGCGCCGGCGCTCATGGGCGGGTTTGTGCTCGTGCGGTCGTACCGGCCGCTGCATCTCATCCCGCTCGCATTTGGTGGGGAGAGCGGAGGCGAGGGGAAGAAGCTCTTCTTTGTGGTCGTGACTCCGGCGTTTGAGGCACCCACCAAGGAGATGAGGGCCGCCCTGCCAAAGGAGGTGAGAGCTTCCTAACATGGCATGCTGTGATATAGAATCTGGTCTGACGTGGCCTGGATATGATGTGTTGTGCCATTGCATGGGAGATTCCGGATTTGTCTTACATCTCTTGGTTCTGTCATCTCCCATGGCGCGGTGTGGCATGGCATTGCATGGCATGGCATGCAAGCAGATCACGATGGCATCGCATGTGGCAAACAGCAGTCAGGCAGCGGCTCTCATCCATGCCATCCACACGGGCGACGCTCGCCTGCTCGGTGCTGCCCTCGGTGAGTGCTTCTTCCAACAGAGAGCGCCCTTCTTCCTATTTCAGACGTCTCCTTTTCTTCTCATCTTCGCAACACCGCAGACTCTCTCCTTGCTCTGATTTCATATGTCTCAACTTTGGGCTTCTTCCTCATGTTTTTTCCACATGTTATCTATAACCTCTCTTCTCGTCCTCCTTGCAAGCAGCTTCGGACACGATAGTCGAGCCTCGGCGCTCGCCTCTGATTCCGGGCATGTCAGCAGTGAAGGTAGCAGCCAAGGCAGCGGGGGCCCACGGGTGCACCATCAGTGGAGCGGGCCCGACTGCAGTGGCGGTGGTGGACAGTGAGGAGGTGGGGCGTGCTGTGGGCGCTGCCATCGTGGAGGCGTTTCAAGAGCAAGGCAAGCTGCATGCTAAGGCTACAGTGGCTGCCCTTGATGCTGTTGGTGGGAGAGTAGTGTAGCTAGCGCTTCTGAATGGCCTAGGAGGACGATTCATTAATTGCTAAGCTAGATTTAGAATAATTTCCTGGCTCATGTCATAAATATAAAAAACAGTGCATACCGGTACATCTCATCACCACATGGTGCATATGTAGCACCAGCTTTTGTTCAGGACTGACTGACAGGAAAACCCTTGTGGTGACTGTCTGACAGACCCTCCTGCATTCCACCATCTTGGTTTGGTTAGTACCCCCAACGCCAATGTCTGACGGAAGCAATATGCACATGATGGTAAGTCTCTCAGGCACATCAAAACAGAAATTACCTAGGCTAAGCCCAAGGACGTCATTCAAAAATGAAGCAGAAACCCTAGTTGCGTAAATATCGGCGAATAAGTAAACAAGCATGTCATAAGTCGCTAACAAATAGACCTCTAGGCCTTGAAGGGGATGACCTTGTTAACGATCTCGTCGCTGAGAGCCGACACCTGCGAGTCGAGGCTCTTGAGGGTCGCCTCCTTCTGCGTCTCGAGGTTCGCGAGCGACGACTCGAGCTCCTTCTCGATACGCGCGCGGTACGCCTGCAGCTTCGCGTCCAGCTCAGCAGCCACCTCCTTCTTCATCTTGTTCATTTGCCCTGACGCCTCCGCGCGAGCCGCCTTGATCAAGGCCTCGGCCTGGCTCTGCAGATCCTTAATCTCGCCCGAGTTATCCCTGACACCAATGAGCTTCTTCCTGATCTCCTCGTCGCGAGAATCCATGACCGTGGAAACCGGCTTGAACCAGATGTTATCGAGTGCAACCATGAGCAGCAGGAACTGGACGACAATGATGGGGAGGGTCAGGTTGAAGTCGAAAATCTTTCCCTTCTCCTCCTCGGCGAAAGCTGGCATGGCGATCATCGCATTCATCGCAATGATCGCAGCGTGGTGCATCTGCCTCGTCGCCTTCTCGCCGAAGATACCCTCGACGACGGACGACGCAGCGGACGAGATCGTCACATGGCTGGCGACGGCCTTGTTTTCCCTAGCGTCGCACACGAGCCTAGCAGCGCTAACGACGGAAGGAAGCTTCGCGGCGGAGCGGAGGCTCTTGCCGGAAACCAAGGACCCGTTAAGGCCCTTGACGGAGAGGCTAGACGCCATAGCGGAGGCAGCGACGGCAGCCATTGTCGTCTATGTGCAGAGACCGAAGCTACGACCTGAACGGCAGACTAGCAGGAGAGCAACAGCAGCAACTATGGCTACTGAAGCGGGAAAATGCAGCCTCGTGTGAAAATGAGCCGTGAGGGAGTCCAGCAGCTGTAAGGGAGAAGCAGCAGCAGATGAGACGAGGGGGAACGGAGATCGGGAAGGGTAACGGGGAGTAGAAAAGGAAAAGGTGGGATCAGAAATCAGAAAGATTCGTCGCGGTGGAGAGAGTTCGAGAGAGCTGGGAGGCGAGGGATTGAAGCGAGGGATGGGGGGCAGTGGGTGATACAGTAGACATCGTGGGACTGCTGGGGGTGGTTCGTAACCGTAGATATTGTGTGTTGGAGTTTGATCGACGGTTTGTATGGTTTGATTATGTAGTGGGGTGTATGAAAGATGGGGAATGTGTGAGGTGGTGGTGTCAAGGGTTTGGATGGAATCTGCTGACGAAACCCTATCCACATGGAGCTCCAGTGATGTGGGACCGCTAATTGATCGCCATTTGGCATCGGTTTGCGCATCTCGCCGCCGCTTTCCACGACTTGCTAGCCACTAACGGATGTCGAGGTGATGGGTGTATAAGATGAGATAAAATTTACATTAATTGTAATACACTGCACTGCTTACCTCTACTGCTGAAGCTTGATTTGTATTGTACAATGTCAACAATTAGACCACTCCTCTATTGTACTGTATCAGGTCCCGAAACGGACAAACTCCCGTCGATCACAATGAAGATGCCAGCTGGCTTGCGGCCAAGGGAACTCGCTGCATTGGTCAGCAGCACGCCCCTCTTTCATCCCAGGTGCCCCTCTTTCTTTCCCTCTTTCCCCTCTTTCCCTCTTTCCCTCTTTCCTCTTTCTTCCCTCTTTCCCTCTTTCTTTCCCTCTTTCCCTCTTTCTTTCCCCTCTTTCTTTCCCGGGCCATTTTCAGGTGCAATCCCAACAGTACGGGAAATGTGTTCCGGTGGGAGCCCAATCTGTTACGGAACTGTTACGGCACTGTACACAACAGTTTGTGCAGACCCGCCACTCACATCTTGTTCAGCTGACGGATTCTATTGTCTCTGACACATTCTGACGGAAGTCAAACATACAATATGGCCAGACCAAACTACCCGAAGCTGTTAAGGCCACCCGGAAAAAAAATGAAACCCCTAGAGAACCTGGAAGCAGTTTCGGGAGGGATCAACCCCAAACACGGGACCCATCTGGTGTTTAGGGTTGATGCCTCCCGATTCGATCCCGCTCCGATTGGGTTTTATGTTTTCTCACGAAAACCTTACGGAGGCATCACCCTAAACACCAGTAAGTGTCTCGTGTTTAGGGGTGATCTCCCAAAAATGCGTCCGGGGTCAGTGGAGCTTTTAGTGTGTCTTTTCGGGGTATGTCGAAGCACTTCCTGGTAGCGTCGGTAAACGGAGCGTGTGTGAGCACATTAATTCCGCAATAATTTCCCTCAGCGAGTACAAGTTTGAGTGGCGTATCTTTTCAAGGCACTGTTCAGGCACGTGTGTACAGTGCGCAACAGAAACCTGGAAGAATTTGCCGGGCTCCTACCTGAATACATTTTCCGTACTGTTGAGTTGCACCTGAAAATGGCCCGAAATTCCCGCCACAGAACGAACCAGACAAACCACTTTGACAGCCAGCCGCATAGCCAGCGTGTGTGCCAGCCACTTGACTTCTTTCGTACGAACCGAGCCTCGTCAGATGGAGGCCAAACCAGCGAAGCTCACCCGTCCAACTTCCCCAAAGCTCCTGCCGAACTGAACGTTCGCTTCGTCTTTCCTTTAACCAATTACAGCCGCTCCACGCACGGAGCCGAACCACAGAACAGCTTGTAGGGTTGTCCTGCCACGCACGAGTCATGGTCACGGAGCAACGACTTCGAGTGAACGCACAATCATCATCAGCACGGGGCGCCCCGTAGCAAAAATCTCACTCGGGGCAGGCAGGGGTGCCAGCCAGGTTGCTTTGCTGCAGGCGGGAGGGATGACTGCTTCTTGCAGCAAAAAACTCTTGCGTGCATTTCCTGCTTCTTCTCCCTGCTCGATTCGTGAGGAAGTGTTTACCTCATCTTGACTCCACTCGATGATTCTACCTGCTGAATAAAAGTGAATGGAATGTAGCGAGCGTTGACCTATTTTCCGCCGTGCACTTCCGTCCTCTTGAAACCATCTCCTTCGCAGCATCTACGCTGTAGCAAATGCCTGCGTGTGAAACTTAGGAGCCTGGTCAGTTCGTCATGACGCGGCATGCGACGGATTCCGGTTGAGTAATCAGCGTAGGAGCCGCAATCACGGCGGAGCATTGTCACGTCGAACCTTTTCCGCAACGGAACGGCGAGCTTAACCACTCACACAACGCGGCGCGTAGTGTTGCATTCGTACTGGAAAAAAATCTTGGGTTTCGAGGCGCCGCAGAAAGCACTCACCCGCCAGAAGCGTGCCGAGTGCGCTTAGTTTCTGCCTTGGGTTCGTTGCGCCGCGCGCTTCTCGAGTCGACTTAAAAGACGAGGCGCCTCCGAAGTCACTCACCCGACAGAAACACGCCGAGTGCGCTCGGATTCTGCCTTAGATTAGTTCCGCCGCGTACTCCCCGTGGCGCGACCAGGGCCGACGTCAGAATGGCAGGGGAACCCGTTCGCTGGGCCGAGATCGATGCCTTCGCGGGCGGCGGCGGTTGCGGCGACGTTTGCGGCGGTAGGCGGACGCTCAGTGCCAATGCGCACTCGCTAAGTAGTAACAGGTTACAGTCGCCGTCAGCTATGGTAGCCAGAAATCGCTGGACGGATTCTGGGACGGAGGCTTCGACGGATTTTGTGACGGTGGAACGGGCGGGTCCTGGCTGGAGACCGACGGGTCGGGCGCGGAGCGGCGGCGGCGTGCAGCGGTCGCGCAGCGTAGAAGGCGCGGGGATGGCGACGGAATTCGCGGGCGACGCCGGCAGCAGCGAGGCAAATCAGCGCCACGTGGTGGTTAAAGCGGCGTCGCGGGATGACAGCTGGGAAGGTGAGGCGAGCAGAAAGGACGAGAACAGAGAGGGGAGTGACGAAAGGAGCGCCTCGAGTTGAACCGACGGTAGTATCGACGAGTCTTGTATGAACTGCTTTGCCGCGCCGGCGCGCATCCGTTGCTTCCCTTCACTCCCCAATCAACCCCCTCCCTCCCTTTTTTTTGAACCCGCACAGCGCTGGAGCAGCAGTGTCGGCGCATGGAGGCGGTGGGCTTGCGCATCGACAATATCGACCTCACTTGCCTCGACGCGGACCCCACTCCGCATTCCCCGCAGTCGGCGCAGTCCGCGCGGTCAGCGCGGTCGCTCGCGCTGGCCCGGCTTTCCGCCGCCACCGCCGACGCGCCGGCCAATGGCCCTGACGGCGCGCCAGAAGTCGGGAAAACGCGCGAAGAATCGTGGCGTGCGCCGACGGGGGAGCGGAAGAGCGAATGGGGGGAGGCGGCGGAAGGGCAGGAAGCGGGGGAGGGGGCGCACGTGAAATACGCTTTCAGCTTAGTTCCTACGCCCCGCGCAAAGCGCGATGAAAACCCCCAATGGTCAGACGATTCGGTACAGCTGCAGCATTTCGAAGGATCGGATTTGCCGCGGCCTCGTGCCCCTTCGTTAGACGGCGGCGCTGACGTGGCAGAATCTGAAGGCTCTCTCGATTTCGCCGCGATATTTCCTAATGGCACGCGCGATAGAGTCACACTGCCTACGGATGCTCCCCCGCCGTCCGCGCCACCTGCGTTGGTTTCCGCAGCAGGGTCAATCCACAAAGGTGGAAATGCTCTCGCTTCTCCATGTGCCCCTGTCTTGCTACCTGGGGTGATTTACTCTACAAATACAGAATGTACCCCCGGTTCGCTTGGGCAGGCCCTTCCAATACCAGTGCAGATTGTGTCGAGCGATGTTACCAGCACCACCCAATCTGCCGCCATGGGGCAGTTTTCCCACGGCCCACCCGATTCCATGCACCAGGCTTTGTTCCGCTCCCCCCATTCCTCCACTCACTCTTCCCCTTACTCCTCTCTCTCCATCCTCCCTCCCTCCTCCTCCACTGACTCATATTACCACACAGGTCCCTCTCGCTCCGCCATTCCCTCGCAGGCTTCCTACTCCCCCACCTCCTCCACTTTCCACTCCTTCGCCTCCCCTGCTTGCGCCTCCCCTGCTTGCATCTCCCCCGTCTGCGCCTCCCCACATTGCGCTTCCCCCACCTCCGCCTCCCCCATCTCCGCCACCCACGCTCCTCCCTTCCCCCCCACCAGGCCCAGGCCTGCCCGGCAACCTGCCCGGGGCGTTCACCGCAGGAGCAGTTCCCTTTCGGTGCTGACCGAGAATCTGCCCGGGGTGCCACCTGCAGCCTGCAACTCTCCCTGCAGCAGCATCAGGCCCGCACGCTCACACCTCTCCGCATCCACTGTAGTCTCTCGACCGTCAGCAGAGAAACCCCCGACGCCGCGCAAGGCCTTAGTGGCCCCCAGGTTTGCTCGCTCTCCTCATGAGCCCTCTGCTGCAGCTGGTAGCGGTTCCCCCCGCCTGCAGCACATGCAACAGCTGCAGCAGGTGCAGATGCAGCAGCAGCAGATCGAGCAGGTGCAGCAGATGCAACACGTGCAGCATTACCAGCAGGCCCCACAGGTGCAACACATCCAGCACGTGCAGCAGTACCAACAGGGCCCACAGCTGCAGCAGATGCGGCCAGGGCGACCCCGAACCCCATCCATGCACCGCTTCACACCGTCGCTGCCTGAGATATCCGTGACAGACGCGGTGGAGATGGGGGGGGAGGGGAGTGAGGAGGGGAGAGAAGAGGGGGGTGATGGGGGTTTCTCGAGGAGCCCGATAGTAGCCGAGCTGCCATGGAGGGATGGGAAGGGATGGCATGGTGCTCCGATGCAAGCTCAGAGGTACGGTGTGCCAGGCCACTCTGGGAGGGTCGGATCACCAGCGCAGGCTGGGAGGCTTGGGGCCACGGTACAGGTTCGGAGGTTCTCTCCTGGTGGTGGTGGTTCGGCAGTTGAAGGTTCAGGCAGGGCCGGCGCAGAAATCAAGGTCTGGGAGACATCAGAAAGGGGTTTATTGCAGGGGAAGGGCCGGTCTATTTCTAATAGAGAGTCTGGTTACAGGAGTATGAGCAGCGATAACGTGCTGGGGGATTGGAGTGACATTGAGGCAGATGCTGAGTGGGTGGCGGTGGGAGGGAAGCAGGCGAGTGCAAGGGAGACTGGGGGGTTGGATGGTGGTGGCAGTCCTAATTTGAGTGGTTACGGGGGTATCAGGGGTGGTGCTGCGGCACGTGAGGATGTGAGGGGTGGCAGTGTGAGGGGTGGCAGTGTGAGGGGACAGGAGGAGGGTGTGAAGAGCACAAAGAGTGTGCTGAAGAAGATGCTCTGGCGGTTCAAGTCTGGTCCTGCTGCGCAGGCAGCAGATGAGTCTGCTAAGGAAAGAATAGAACAGCAGGAGGAAGAGGAAGAGGAGAGGCAGGGTGAGCAGGAGCAGGAGAAGCGTGGGGTTCGCACTGTGCGTGTCTTTGCAGTAGCAGAGTGTTGACATGTTGGAGTGAGGTCTTGAGATCTTGCATCATCACTTTATGGGTTGTGGCTGGATTTCTGCTTGCCAGTGTTGGGTTGTTTTGTAGAGTAGCATTGCTTGCTGTACAGTAGCTGACAGGTGGCTTGCTTCCATCTATCTCGGTAGAGATATACTCCAATAGCGGCTTGGAGCTTGGTGATTGTTCTGCATGCCACAGCATGTATTAGAATAGAGTACACGCACAAGGGGCTGCAGTGAAGGGGGCACGAGAAGTGCCCCTGAGACAGGCAACCTTGCTACCAAGGCACCCGTCTTGCCCCATTATAGCCTCTAGCTAGATGTTCCTGCAACACTCCTCCCCCCATCCCCCCATTGTTGACGCCCACTGCCACAACCAACCCCCCATACCCATGGCGCATCGTTGCACATCAAGCAGCAAGATGCATGGCCAAGCCAAACCACAGCTTATGTGGCACTAAACAGGCCTCACATCGCTCCATCCGTGATTCACCTCCCATATGCATGGTTGCACAGCAAGCAGCAAGATGCAAGGCCAAGCCACATCTCATGTGGCAATAGCCAGGATTGCTCACATCGCTCCATCCAAGATCCACCTCTTCCGGTAACCCCTCCGTCCCTCACAGAAGCTGGCAGTCCTTTGGTTATTTCAGCCCCATGGTGCATAACACCTGCTGCACGTGACTGCAGTGAAAGGTGGCCATAGCCCCCACTCCCAGCTTCCACCCAAAACCCGGCTGCCCTTGCGGTCACAGCAACTTGTGCTCCCTCAGATACTGCATTGCCATGGTGCACGTGACAACAGACGGCAGCAGCATGTCACCGCCCAGCGCCAGCCTGTCAAGGTCGCGAGCAGGCAGGTGCAGCACCTGGATGAACTCCTCCGGGTCGCGTGGGAGCGGGGTGGGGTCGGGCAGCGGGTCGATGACCAGGAAGGGAGTGAAGCGGTTCTTGCACCACTTCACCTCCAGCAGGCCCGGGTGGTCCTCAGGGATTAGTCTGACGAGTCGGCCGCCACGCAGACGAGCCTGGTGGTAGGGAGTGAGTCAGAGAAAAAACAGAGGAAGTGAGGGGTTGAGAGGGGATGACTCAGTGGTTGAGAGGAGTGGGTCAGGGGGTGGGAGCGGGGTGGGATCGGGCAGCGGGTCGATGACCAGGAGCGGTGTGAAGCGGTTCTTGCACCACTTCACCTCCAGCAGCCCTGGGTGGTCATCGGGAATCAGGCGCACCAGCCGCCCGCCATGCAGACGCGCCTGGTGGTATGGGGGTGATTCAAAAGGGTGGGAGGAGAGAGTTCGGGGGTGGGACGAGGGAGTGAAGGGATATTTGGGGAACGCGTGAAAGGGGAAACCAATGCTGCTAGTACTGCGACACAGGAATACAATGCTCTAATGCCTGCAACCATGCACATGGGCATGCACAATGAGACACGCGACGGAAAGCACGTTGGGACGCACATGGTGGTGCGGACTGGCAGCTCACCTCCTCGGACAGTTCACTCCGAACGCAATCCTCCAGTGATGCATGCGAGCGGCTGAGACCCCCACACGGCAGCGTGTACAGCATGCTGTTGGCACCCTGTGGGGGGAATAGGCGAGGGGAGTGGTGCAAAGTGGTGAGGAGCGGTGGAGGAGAAAGCTGGCGATGGACAAGAGAGGTCGTGTGAGCTGCTGAGGCACTGCAGCGGGTACAGCATGCTGTTGGCACCCTGTGGGGGAGAGGGGCGACGGGTGTGGTGCAAGCCGGTGAGGTGCGGTGGAGGAGAAAGCTGGCACTGGACGAGGGAGGGTGTACGAGCTTCTGAGCATCAGTGCTATGGCGGAAAGAGGTGTGTGGAATGCGCACCTGAGCGCACTCCTTGAGGGAGGGTGACAGACAGGATTGCAGACTGAACCTCTGAGTCAACTCGAAATGCATCATGTGTGGGACTGGCGCGCACCTGGGCGTACTCCTTGAGGAGGGTGACGGACTGGGTGGCGGAGTGGAAGGGCAGCACGCAGATGAAATGACTGCTGGCGGACGACACTATGTCATACTCCACCACCTTGCGCCCGCGCCCCTGCCTTGTTCCCTCCTCCTGCTTCCCCTGCTGCCCCTGCTGACCCTGCTGCTGCTGAAAAGAGGTGCTCTGCAGGCCTGGTCCTGCGGCACAGGCGGCCACGATCGGGCCCCTCGCACCAGACGCCCTGTGCGCATGTCCGCTACCTGCACGAGCTGCGCCAGCTGAAGTTGTTGCAGTGGCTGCTGTTATCTGGTCGAATGTGGGGGTGACGAGGCCGGGTACAGCGGCATGCTGTGGCTCTTGCTGCACGAGAGGCGGTGACGGGTGCTGATGGGGCGACACAGGTTGAAAGAAGGGCGAGAGAAATGGAAGGGGGACGGTGGGTGGGGAACGAGGAGTAAGCGAATACGGATTGAAGGAAAAAAAAAAGAGGGTGATGGAACGAGTGCTGGGATAAACTAGCTAACTGTTCGATAAGTTAATCCATCACCTTCCCCCATGCCTCACCTCCACGACGCGGCTGTAGATCTTGAGGAAGCGAGAGAACTTGAGCTCTTCCTGGCACGAGCAAGAGAAGTTAACAAGAGGGAACGACGGCAATACAAGCATGAGCTTCCGTGAGGCAAGGGACATTAACAGATCCACTGCTTGTAAGCCCTAAGGATGAACGCACTGAGCGTATACACGTGAAGACGCCATGTTAGATACGGATAAATCGCAGCATACCTTGATGATCTTGAACCCATGCTGAGGATCGCCGTCGAATCCTCCTCCCTCTTGAGCCTCATGTTCTACGATTCGCTTTTCCACCTCAACCTGCGACTTTTCATTGACCGTTCCTCTCTCCCCTTCCGCCATTGATACTTTCTGCTCTTCCATCCGCAGATCTTTCTGTTCACGGGTCTCTTCCTTCACTCGCAGCTGCCCAGCCTTTCTCGCCAGAAGCCGGATCTTGCTCAGCATCTCGTTCTTCTGGTTCCCCGTGTCATTCTCCAACACGTCAACCCCAGCAACATCAACAGCACCAGCAGCACCAGCAGCAGTCAGCGCAGCAGGCTTCCTCACACCCCCGTTCAGCGTGATCCCCAGTTTTTCCAGCAGGTGAGAGTCTTCCCCTAGAGTCTCAACAGAGAGGTAGTCTGTCGGTAGCAGCAGCGAGGGAGGCAGGGAGGGAGGTGCGAGCAGAGCAAGTCCTTCCGTCGCCGGATCTTCCTCTGAGAAAGCGACACGGGGGAAAGGAGGGGTGGAGGAGGGGGGGGAGAGGAAAAGGGGGAGAGCCAGAGGCGCAATTCAATTCGTGAGTGACAGCACAGCATGAGTCAGCACAACATGAGTCAGTCATTCCCGGATCCGCACTCTCGTTCACAACATGAGTCAGCTCGTCACAACATTACGTCAGCATACCGGAGAGCTCTCTCTCGATGGTTGCTGAGCCGTCTCGCCTTCCGCTTCCCGTAAATGCTCTCCAAGAAGTACTGCTTGCAGCGCCGTTGCTCTGGAAAGAAGGGCCTGGCCGGCACGGCGACGACGGCCGGCATGGCGACGACTGTCGCGGCGGAGCACCTAACGGCGGCTGGCGCTGTTGGAGGGGCCATTGCGGTCGCGGGAGAGGCTGGAAGCTCCCTTGATGATTCTGACCGGCTGTGTTGAAGACGCGATGGGATTGGCGACGGGTGGAGGAGACAGGGCTTGACGGACGCGGCCGACTCACGCAGCCTGAAAGGTGGACCGTGAGGAAGGGGGGGAAGGAATCAATGCGAATGGCTGATCATGCTGGTGCCTCAAAATAGCAAATCAGTACCAGATCAGATACGCTTGAGAGAAGACAGTGGGTTGGCAAAGGGCTCACTTGTGACTGACGCCATTGCATCCCCGAATTTAAGGAGGGTGCTTTTGCGCTGCTCAGTTCTATCCCTTCAGACTTCTCTCCAAGGTCAGGGTGAAGTGAATACGAGGACTGAGCGCTGTTTCAGAAAGCGAGAATCTTTGCTGGAAAGTAGTTAGCAGAAGTTAGCAGAAGGCGTTGCAAGACTATCAATAAGTTAGAAATATCACAGAATTTCCCGCTTGTTTGGGAATCGACTAACCTTATGCAAACTGAGATCCGCAATGGGATCACCTAATAGTTGTAGTTTCTCCTGACAATGGGATCCATAGTTGCCTCGGCCTTGCCTGACGGTCTGCCTTCCCTTGGGAATTGGTTACCGAATTCAGGGATGAGCGAGGAGGAAAAAGTACTGCCACGCTGATAGTCAGAGGGGGATGAGACGGGAAAGCGGGAGTGCTGTTGCAGTTGCTATTGGCCCAGCAGCCAAACTTCCAGAAAAGCTGGAGATTGACATGGAAAAGGTTCTTGAGGCTGGGCGCAGGTTTGTCTGACAGGGGAATATTTGAATTTCCAGATCATGCCGTGTCGAATATCGAAGCGCTGTGATTGGTCTGTATTGGGAAATAGCGGGCCAAGCTCGTTGGAAGATAACGCACCACAGCCACATCTCTGCTGAAGCTAGCTTGCGCAAAACTGATGTGGCTAGGCACCACTGGAATGCGCGTTCACATCGGATCACATGATGGAATCTTTGCTCCATCTGCGAACCTGATCCACTGGCCTGTGACATCACTTCACCCGAGCCTTGCAGGCTAAACGAAATCAAACTGGTGCTTCGGGAAATCCAAACCTCCACCCAGCCTCTGACTGGCTATTAAAAAACAAACACAGTAAAAAACCTTTAACGTATCCCTCGCTGTAAAGTTGAAAACAATTATGAGTGTAGCTGATTAACTAATGAGGTTTAGAAGCAGAAGGAAACCAGAGCTACGGCCCTGCGATCCCTTCAACCCAGCTTCTTCGCACACAGATTCGCACACCTGTGACGATCCGGGTTACTGACGCAACTTGGCGGAGGAACGCCGTTACCTGAGATAAGCTCCTCTCATCGCCGCACCATAACAGGATCATCGCTGGTCGTTCCTCCACTCCGCGTCGCCTCACCGCCATTGCCGCGATCCACGTCCCCGCGTCCACCCGTCCCCCCGATCTCTAGCTCCTTACCCGCTTCGCGCACAAACGATGGCGTCCGGTTTCGGCATCCACGGCGGTCGCGGCCGGTGCTACCCGGTGTGGCTCGACTTCTCCGAGTGCATGTCGCAATGCCAGGACCCGCGCGAGTGCGTGCCGCTGCGAGAAGATTACTTCGAATGCTTACACCATCGCAAGGAGGTGAGTTTCGCTACAGCGCTAAATCGCCTCCATAGGGATGTTGTCTCAGAGCTTCTGAAGTCCGTGAAGCAGAGTAAGGCTAGCGTTAGTGGCGCACGATCGGCAAAGGCTCGTTCTAAGACCCCTTTTGACGATGGAATATATCAACGTTTTAGGGTTGGCCATTTCTGGGCCATGGCTGGGACTCGACCTGGGAAGAGTGCACACTGCCTTTGTAGCTCTTTGAATCGCCATATACATGCACGCAGCTTCATGTTACCATACGCACCAATCTGCACGTTCCCCCTGCCGCCTCCTCCCCCCGCCAACTCCCCTATCCATTTCCTTATTACCCCCACCCCACCTCCATCCCTGCGTCCCTGTGTGGGCCTTCCCTTGTCCAGTTCACGCGCATGAACGCCATCAGCAAGGAGAAGCAGAGGCAGCTGAAGGAGGGTGACCAACCGACTAGTGGAGGCAATCATGCAGCATCGGGTCATCATTGATCCAAGCTCCTCATGATGTCTGGGGCTAGAATGCAGCTTTGCTATGGTGCTTCGGATTTTCGGACCTGGATGAAGGTATTAGGGCACAATTTTTGTATGGTAGATGGCAGGCAGGAGCCTAAGTTTGTTGCAAATGCAACTTGTTACATCCGGTCAACAGTACTCTAAAGAACACTGCTGTGGTAACTAGAATCTACACTACAGCACAGAGTGCTCGGAAATCAGCACCCGAGTTAGCCAGTTGCGGCAAGCAACAGACAGTAGCCTCAAGGCCCTACTGTACCTGCAGTCAGTCTCCATCCCCACCTAAGCTGTGTTCACAGCCTCCCTACACCTCGCCTTGCAGTGTGACCTGCACAAACACACTTCCTTTTCCCTCTTGCAGCATCGCCCCACACACTACCAGCAGTCCTGACCACTCGGCTTCCTCCGTTTCACCCTCACCACTCCAAGTCCGTGGGCATATCTGGGTGCCCAAGATTTGCCAGGCCCCTAGCTGCTGTTCGTGGAGTCAACACAGCCAGCGGCACTCCTGCAAGCCCTCCAGCACCTCTCACTGCCGCCGTTGATCCTCTGGAATCGCCTGATCCACCAACAGCAGCAGCTGCAGCCCCAGGGTATGCCTGAATCAACTGCTGCTCCACAGTTGCTGCCTGCTCACACAGCGAAAGAGTGGTGCTGATCCAAGAGCGTGTACACTCAATCTGCGATCAAATAAATGGGAAGGGCAAGGTTAAGTAAGTATGGCATTCTAGTGTCATGCTCGAACAGAACTGCATCACTAAAACACAACGCCTAGATCCGTCCTCACCTTTTCTTCGACAACTGGGAGAATCTCCTCAATCGCTTCCGCAATCTGAGCACTTGAAGCTTCCTCCTCTCCGCCAAGGCTTTCCTCCTCGTCCGATCCCTCCTCCTCGTTGCTCTGCTGCGTATCTTCCTCCTCAGCCTCCTCCAGCTTCTCCAGAGCCTCAATCCCTGCAGCTCCTTCAACAACCCCTCCTTAATATCTCTCAAACCCTGTATGCGGAACCTCACAGAGGCTAACGACTCATTCCTTCCTCCCCCAGCCGCCTGCTCCCCGGTTGCAGGCTCAGCCGACTTGCCTGATGCCCCTCCATCTCCCTTGCCCGCGTTCTCCTCTTCCTCCTCCTCATCTTCGCTCCCCTCATCCGTGCTCGGTTCAAACGCCCTGATATCGAGCATGGACGCGAGGTAGCACCGCTTCAAGCAGGCCTTCACCTGCCTGGCGATCCGCACGGGCTTCTGGTCCGCGTTGCAGGTCTCTTGAGCGAAGATGATGTTCATACGCGACTCCAGGTACTCCTTCGTCAGCTCCACAGGCCCCTCCACTCCCATACCCAGGTCCGCTCCCTGCTTGCTCGCCTCTCCGCTCGCCTGGACTTGCTCAGCAGTTGTGCCTTCACGAATGACCTGCTCCTCTTTGTCCCCTGCCAATACTTTCGAACCATCCTGTCCCGCGTCTCCCGCTTGCTTCACACTAGCTTCTCCATCTTGCTTCGAACCAGCTTTTCCCACTTGCACTGCTCCCTCGCGTCCCGTCTGCTTCGACCCAGCTTCTCCCGCTTCCGACCCTGCCTGCCTCGACTCCTTTCCAGCCTGTCCCGCCTCCTGCATCAGTGCGCAGCGCTGCACGCTCCACCCTCCGCGACCAGCACGCCCTGGAGTGACGCCAGATCTGACAGCCGCACCAAGAGAAGGACGTCGTACGGCTGGCGTCAGGGTCATTCGCCTCTTCTGAAACCACGCAGCGTCCTCTTCAATGGGAGAAGCTGCATCCACGCCCGCATTGTCCTCCAGAAAGCGATTAATCGCTGCCATCCGTGACACGCTGCCTCCTAGGCTCTCCCGAAAACTACGACTAAGTTTCCGCTTCTTCGTGGTAGATGACAAGTGCTCCACGCCTGCAGGACTCTGGCTCATCCTCTTCTTGAATCGTCGGCTGCTCGGAGTCACCACTTCTGCTTGTCCAGCACCACCACCCTGGCCTCCCGTCGCCTGTGTCTCTTGAGAAAAGCTGGTCGCTGGCGCCGATGTCTCCAGAGCAGCGTTAGCTGCGTCCACGTGGGAGGATGCAGGAGCGTCGAGAGCTTCAGCGGCTGGAGTAGACGACGGAAGAATGGGAACAGCAGGAGCAGCGATGGAGCTCGAAGGAACCGAACGATTTGCAGGGACTACGTTAGGCTTATCAGCTGGAGCAGGAGGGGTCCGTCTAGACTGTTTATTCTTGTCGGCGCGAGGCAACTTGACCTTCTGATAGACAAAGCTCGGGTCACATTCTTCATCACCATCTGTAACCTTGGGAGGCGACTTAGTGGTTTTCGCAGCAGAAGCAGCCACAGAGCCGAACGGTACACTGTTATCCTTAAGAATCTCGCCAGGCAACGTCTCGCGCGAAGGTCGACTCACGTTCTTGCGAGGCAACTTGACCTTCTGATAGACAAAGTTCGGGTCACATTCTTCATCACCATCTGTGTCCTTCGGAGGCGACTTAGAGGTTCCCGCAGCAGAAGCAGCCACAGAGCCGAACGGTACACTGTTATCCTTAAGAATCTCGCCAGGCAAAGTCTCGCGCGAAGGCCGACTCACGTTCTTGCGAGGCAACTTGACCTTCTGATAACTGTGGTCAGAACTTTCATCACCATCAACATCAATCGGAATAGTCTTAGAGGCTTTAGCTGTTGCAGTGGCCGATGCAGGAACCAAGGAATCCATGGTAATTATAGGCTCAACAGAAATGACTTGCTTTTCAGGAAGTGGGTATGAATCGCTGGGAGGAACCCCAGACGGAGGATTGTTAATGCGAGGCACCTTAAGCTTTTAATGTGCCGAGTCTACTATATTCCGTCATAAAAAAGCTGCTGCATTCACTTTCTCGGACATGGCTAGCTGAATAGCGAGAGGTGGATGTGGAGACTGGAACGAGCAGCACCAAAATTTGAAAATAGTAAACACTCTAATGTCAAGGAGAAAGAAACCTAAAAGCTATGAGTAGAAAGCTGCAACAAAAACTTGACGGCTCCCCACCGAGGCGACGAAGCAATCCTAGAAACTTCTACTAGGAGCACTAAACTATCTGCAGCTTCAGGAACCGAGATGCAGTAAGAACGCAGACTTGGCAAGGACGTCAGTCTGGCTAACTCACTGAGGCGGAATCGAGAGCTCAAGAAGCCAAGTCTAAAAAATAGTACTAGCGATACTTTCAAATCATCAACTGAACAAGCGATTATGCTGAGGCTGTGGATAAATGGAATGGATCTGCATGATGTTCAGCTTGACAAGACAGAGAAGCAGCAGCAGGGCTGAAGCTCATCACTGATTGCGATTCAGGATTCAGGGAACTTCGGGTTCATCGAGATATCTGACAGGTGACAGATTTCGTTCAGGGCAGATTCTTGGCGCGAAGGTGGGGTGGAGTCAGTTTGTCAGGCGTGGGGTTACTCATAGATTTGGCGAAAAGTTTCGCTAGTGCGATTTGCCCATCGTATGTGAACTTGAATTTCGCTCATACTACAATCAGCCCGCTGCAATTTCCCAACCCTATTGCGCCCCTTCTTCCTGAACTTTAATTCCGCACACTCCCTCCCTAGGCATTAGGGAAGCTGATTATCAGCTTATTATTATCAGGGGACCTTTTATTTCTTGATCCTGATGATTTTAATCAGGGGAGCTGGATCTGCATTACACGTTCTGGATGCCGGCGCGTTCGATTCTGCAGAGGTTCGAATGGGTCGGTCAAAGAAGGGAGGATCTGCAGACATTTTAGAACAAAGAACGCTTTCATCGACTTGCGGGATCGGAGCGCCGTCTAGCGTTCAAGCACGCAAGATCATTTCGAATTTGAACCTCTGCGGAGATGAATCCCGCATAGAGAGCGCCATGGATGGATCTCCCAGCACAAGTTCGCACTCGCGACGATCAACTCGAGATCGTAGAGCGAGAAGATGGACGAAAGGTGTCCTTTTCAACAGAAACTACCAAGAAAGCTACAGAAACGCTGACTGTCTCAACGGTGAACGAGGCATAGCGCAATTGGTGTCAAGCGTCAACCATCACCACGCACCGTCCACCCTTACATTCACCCCTCGTCCGCCTGTTCCTGAGCCTGTTACGTCGCCTAAAATTGCATCCTCAGCACCTCCTGACGCTGCGGTGAGGTGTCCGAAGTGGTCTGGGGGAGTTCGAGGCGGTGCAGGCCGAGTGGAGTTGCAATGGTGGGAGAACTTCATGGCAGGAGCGTCGGCGTCGCTGATTTCGAAGACCATTCTGCAGCCGTTCGACACCACGCGCACCATCCTGCAAGTGAGTCACGGCAGCAATGGATCGTGGAATATAGGGATATGTTTGAATGGGTGTAACCCCTATCATGATTCAGCATCTTTTTGCTACGGCGTAATCCCACAGGCATTGTCTCTCTATAAAAAGTACCCACTGTTCTTCATCTTGCCTAATCCGCATTGTGAACAGGCCTCCAAGAAAGTTCGTGGAAGCTACAACAATCTGTGGGAGTGTGCGACAGGAATCGTACGCACAAAGGGGTTTCCTGCTCTCTACACCGGATTGATGGTGTCAATTGCAGTTTCCGCCCCGTCCTCCGCCATCTTCCTCACAGCCTATGAGCAGGCCAAGCGGGCAGCTGAAGATGCCATAAACGCTCTCACAGGTTTCCGTCCCTTAAAGCTAAGGGAGCGAGGTAGCACAAATAGAGTGCCAGGAGAATCACTGCCTGGATTGAGTGTTGGTTCTGGGGAATGGCATGTTGATGGGTGGTGGAATGAGGAGAGACGAGCGCGGGCGCGATCGGTGCTCCTCCCTGCAGCACCAGCCCTGGCAGCAGTGGCCGGGAATGTGATGTCGAGCCTTGTGCGGGTGCCGCCAGAGGTGGTGAAGCAGCGGGTGCAGGCAGGGCAGTTTGCCGGGCTCCTTGCTGCTGTCACCAGTATGTGGAGGGCGGAAGGGCTGTCTGGGTTCTACACCGGATACTCCACCATGGTAGGTGGGTGAGCCTTGAGTTCAATAAGGACTGGGTTTCTTTGAATGGGTGAGAGGGTGTTTATTTTGGGGAAGTGGAAACGTTTGCATAAGTATTGGGTATGTGTGCAGGCTCCCCTATCTAGCACATTCAAGAACTAAGCTCCCTTGTGTTGTGTGTCGCACATTTCCATGCTTGCAGGTGGCTCGGGACATTCCCTATGCAGCCATACAGTTCACGACCTTTGAGACGCTCAAGCGCAGGCGAGAGAAAATCCTTGCAGCACGGGCTCTGGCTTCCAGTGAGGCCAGCAAAGGTGGCTCCACAGGTTTGCCATGTTCAGCGGGCTCAACAGGACAAGGGAGCAAGTCTGTGGCAGCTCGCCAGTTGTCACAAGGCGAATTGCTTCTCAGCAACATGTGGATTGGAGCTGTAAGTGCAAGCATCGGAACCATGTAGGTTATTGCGAGTATTTATCTTCTGCACACTCATGTTGTGGGAAAAAACAAACTTTCACAAGCCATTTCCATGTGTTCCTTACCCATTCAGATGGCAGGGGCCATGGCCACCATATTCACTTCCCCCTTGGACGTTCTCAAGACGCGGGTGATGACTCAGGAGGTTTTACCAGGTCAAGCATACCTAGGCACCAGAGAAATGCTTGCAAAAGTGTGGGCTGAAGAGGTAATGGTGTAGAAGTTTGTATAGGCAGGATTTTCTCTGTGGTTTCCCTTGTGTTGCCAAACTCTTCTCTTTCCTGTAGTTCATGGTTCCGTTTATGTGTTGTTGGCAGGGAATTGTGGCGTTCGGCCGAGGAATGACACCCAGGTTGCTCTACAAGGTAAGCGTGTGCATTAGGTACACGGTTACCTATTTATCTGGCTTGCACTGGTGCTCACACGCATCCCCTCCTGTGCAGGTTCCATCGTCCGCTGTTTTCTTGGTTAGTTATGAAGCAATGCGGCGGATTTTGGTTACAGCACGACGACAACACGACACACTACGTTGGAATAATAATTAGGTTGGGTACGATCTGTTAGGTACATTGAATTCCTCAGTTGCAAAATGTATTCTGTGTGCTGATTCATGGCGCTGTCTATCAAATCTTTTTAGTTGTCTGATATTTATGGCTTAATGATTGCAATCTCAACATGTGTTTTTTGTTCAGAATGGTATTTGCATGATCCGCATAAGTGGTAGGAGTTGGTATGCTTGATCCGTAAATATGGTGCAACTCCTGCAAACCTCAATCTGCGATTAGCCTTTGATACTTTAGACCAACTATATGCTCAATACCGCTATCGCCATAACCGTTCCACCTCCATACGGCAGTGGAGGGCCAGGCACCCACCCCCGTGCCTCTTGGCTCCAAACATTGAAATCATGAAGCTCGGTCACATCAAATGAACGAATGTTGTAATGAACTCCACCAACTGCGACCAGATTATCATCCAAAAACGCAAACCCTTTGGAGCGGAGGCCTGGATGATCCATAGTGTTTTCGTCAATGCTTTCAAGCAGAGCACGTGAAAGGGAGTCACAGTCGGATCCTGTCCATCCAGCAACCTGAGCTGCAAAGCAGACTCCCATCGACTGTTGGTATATGTGCGCCTCAGTTCTGACCCACGTTCCATTCTCTGGGTCGACTTCAAAAATGACTGATGGGGATGTGGAGTCGTTGTAGATTGCTACTTGCTGCTTGCCATTCATGGTGAAAGGAGTCAGTTGAGCACTGCAGAAGGAAACAAACAAACAAATGGAAAGGTTTTGAGCAAACCAATGCTGCCATCTTTTGCAATAGCAAGTCCAGTCACATTACCTCGCAACATTGTACACTTGTCGACCTTCGCCATCACGCACGTCAACTGGGCCTTGTGCAAATGTCCTCCAATTCCTGAGAACAGTGCCTCTCAAGTTGGCTGTGCAGCTTGAATCTTTATTAGAGGGCAATACTCCGCAGGTTGCATCAACAGGCGCTTCAACTCCATGCACATCTTCAAAAGGGACCTCAGACGACAGAACATGAAAACTGCCTCGAGTTAACGCCCCAATGAAAGCCCTGCTGCCATCACTCCAGGAGCATAGGCATGGAAAGGCCTGTGGTATCGGTGGACCATCAAACCATGCCAGAGTCCTTGCATTGAAGAGCCTCACCTGACAACAGTGGGACACGTTACAAGGGATTTGAACAAGACTACAATCACCATAACAGAAGACTAAGAAACATGCACTGAAAAGTATCCTTGCCTGTGAAGTGAAGTCAGGGTGCTCAGGCTCTCCAGTGTTTGGGTTGATGCTATCAGATGCTCGCCCACCAACAACTACCAGATGCTCACCCACTCCTACCATACTGCCTGGTGCAAGGTTAGCTTTCCAGGGGAACTTGAACCAGCGATCAAGCACTGCATTGGATAATGCAAACCAAATCAGCATCAAACGGCATGTTACAACAGCTCATGAAAGAGGGATTGGAAAAATATTATCACCTGGAGAGTAGGCTTGAAGAGTGGGACCTGCACCATGCGTTAGCACATATAACCAACTTTCTGTTCTTTTTATTAGTCTTCTGAGACTGCATGCACATTCAGACTTGAGAGATTAGGCATTGATTAAAAGAAATTGGCAAGACTCAACGTGACCAAGGCGTGAACACTCAGTGTGCTACACCCTCTAAGACAGCCACCAACAGGAATGGTCAAGGAAAATGGAACAAGTCACAATGCAAGTTCACTTACGAGCATATATCTTCTGAGCTGAATGTGCCTCTCCAGGCTTTGGATACACATTTCAGGACACCCCAGTAGCCCCTGGGAACCATTGCCAGACACATCAGTGCAATGTCATCAGACAATCCTGGAAGAAGTCGAGCGGAATCTGCCACAAATGACACGAGACATGCGGATGGAAGCATCTGCAAGATATAAGACGCATCAACCCTACCGAACCGCTCCAGCACAACACATCACACATCACTGTAATTTTATGATTATGTTCTCCGGATAATGACATGAGAGGGTGATCAACAACTGTTGATTGACAATGAAAAAGATTTCGAGTGTCGACCCAATTCTGGAGCTACGTTGACCCAATTCTGGAGCTACGTTGACCCAATTCTGGAGCTACGTTGACCCAATTCTGGAGCTACGCGGTTCTAAGTTACTCCTCGACTTGTCTTGGATCAGAAAGGGAGCTGCTATTACTAAGAACAGCAAACCCAGGAGTAGAGTCTTGATTGTGCACCTGAGAGGGCGAGTATCCGTGAAAAATGCGAAAGTTGAACTGACTCGAAAAGTTAAAAAACATACGATGGTTCGTGCTGGACGCGCAATAAAGTCTTGCCAATGAGCAGGCAGCGAAAGCGGTGACGCGGATGCTTCTTCGAACAAGGCCCGTACACGGTCTATACTTGCTCGTGATGGAGCAGAAACAGCAGCACCTGACAAGTTTCACGATTATCCACACAAGAATTTCGCACAAGCATCAGGTGAACCACTCACCTGAAGCAGATCTGAAAGAGACGCTAAGCGGAAAGTCTGGACTAGCCTCCATTGTCGCCGCCATGCTCAAAATGCAAAATGCAGCGGAAACTAGGAAATGTGTATGCGCCGGTGTTGGTCTGAATGCAAAGCAGACCAGCAAGGGGCAAAGAGCATTTGTTTCGTTCAGGAGTAATCGCTACCAGTAAAAGTACAGCACACACCGTTACATACATGGCGAAGTTCAGAATAGCTAGCTGGTGAAGTTTGAGTGGAGCCTGCACTTGAAAATTTCTCCACTGCTCTATAAAACAAGTGAAGTGTACAAGGTAATAAAAGTTTTGACATACAAATCTAAGCTTGCAACTCAATAAAGGAACACTGAACAAAATCACACTTGTACCATCTACAGTACAAATCATTGGGGTTACAGAAATCTATGACCTGGTGCTAGGACTTCGTGGTGGTAAACCACCTTCATGACAAAACCTCACTGCCAGCCAGCCTCCAAGCACTGTCAACCACCACGTGGTATGCCACCACCACCACAACCACCACCATCATCAACACCTCCACCACCACTCCCCACCACCAGAACCACCATCAGAGGTGGCTACTGCATGGCATGCCACCACCACTACTCCTCACATAGAGGAAGACGGTGAGGCTAGGCCGAGTGCTAGTGGAAGGGGGCTAAGCCCCCTGGGTAAGGCAAGAGTAAGGAGAAGGGAAAGAGGTTAAACCCCTCAGAGCATGGCTTGTGAGAGGCAAGAGAAAAGGACTGAAACGACCAGACCAAGGCAAGCTAAGGACAGAGGAGGGGGTTTCCTCTGCCCCTTGCTTGACTCAGCCTGGGGATTCCAATCCCCCTCCCCCCCCTTGCCCTCACAAGCCTTGCCCTGAAAGGCCAACCTCCTTCCCCCGCCTTGCTCTCCCCACCACTCCCCACAGCCACTCGCCAGCAGCACCACAGCAGCAGCAGCAGTGAGGCTATGAGCCAGCCCAAGATCTGAACCCTCACCGACGTAGCAAGAGGGGAGCCCCACCAGACCCCCGGCCGCAAGGTCTGGTGTTCGTCCATTATGCCTTAACGTGCGGCTATTGGAATCCAGGCTTGGGACTGACCCACACCCCCACTGCCACCCCACCTCCTCCACCACCACCACCACCGCCACCACCATCACCAGCACCACCGCCACCACCACCACCACCACCACCACCGCCACCACTACCACCACCAAAGGGTACCTGTCAGGGGGGAGGGGAGGAAAACTAAGTTAGTTCAGAAATGGAAGCATTGGAGAAGAAAAGGAGGGCAAGAAGCAAGAACAACTGAAGCAGCGTGAAGCATGAGAAAGCAAGTGAAGCTGAAAATGAGAAAGCAAGAGAAAGGCAAGAGGCAGAGCGAGGCTTGCTGTCTTACCTTTCACACAGCGCGAGTCCCTCAGTCCGCCAGTGGCAGTAACAGTAAGCAGCACAAGTAGCGTGGAGTGAAGCTGACCAGCACCACCAACGCCACCACCACCACTGTTGCCGCCGCCGCCTGCGCTTCCACCACCAGCGGCAACCGTGACAGAATCTCCAACGACTTCCCCTTCTAGCAGCGGTACCTGTCAGGAGGGGGGAAGAGAAAATAAGTTAGTTCTCTCAGAGGTAGAAGCACTGGAGCAGCAAAGGACGGCAAGCAGTGAGAGCAGCTGAAGCAGAAATGAGAAAGCAAGTGAAAGGCGAGAGGCAGATGCGAAGGCATGCGAGGGCGAGGTGGGAGGCTTGTTGTCTTACCTTGCACGCAGCAGCGAGCCACTCAGTCCGCCAGTAATGGTGAGGCGAGTCCCTCAGTCCGCCAGTCATGGTGAGGCGAGTCCCTCAGTCCGCCAGTGATGGTGACATTCCGCTCAGCAGCAGCAGCAGAAGCAGCAGCAGCAGCAGAAGCAGCAGAAGCAGCGTGGAGTGGAGAGCAGAGAGGACAGCCAAGTTACCTGCTGGGGGAGGAAGGAAGGGGTGAAAAGCACAAGTGAGTGGAGGCAATGGAGGCACATCCAAAGAGAGCGACATGCCAAAGCAAGCACACATGCGTGCAGGAACGAGCTCTGCTGCTGCGCACACCCATGGGGATACCTTTCTGTGGGGGTTATACCCTAAACCTTGCAGTCTGAACCTGTTACCTGGGGAGCCCTGGGGCGTGCTACAGGCAGCTAGAGTGATGTGCGGTGCGTGAAAGCGAGACAGAAGCAGGAAAAGGCGGAGGCAGAGAGGGAGCGAGGGAGGTACTCATCTTGTGTCTTGCGAGGAGCGTGTGGCAGGCGGTCGGTGCAGGCAAGGAAGAGCGCCCTGCTGCCCGCCAGCTCGCTGCATGCGCGTCCAGAGCAACCTGCCAAGGGGGACGGGGGAGAGGGGGCTGGGAGGGCGGGGAGTGGGAGTGGGAGTGGGGGGTGGGTAAGTGGGACGGCAGGAGAAGGATGGGAGCAGCAAGGGTTGATGTGCGTGGCATGAGTGGAAGCGGAGGGAGTACTGCTGTCGCACACCCAAGGGGGTACCTTTAGTAAAAAGAAACACCTGCAGTGGGGGGTTACCTGACCTGTCAGTCTGAACCTAAGACCTGGGGAGACCCTTGAGTGTGGTGCGAGCAGGTGGGGCGAGATCATGATGGATGATGAAAAATCGAAGGCAGAGGAGGTTGAGGAGATGGGTGGTGATACTCATCTTTGTCTGACATTCGCCAAGGTAGCAGGGAAGCTCGCGAAGGCACCAGGGACGCTCGCGAAGGCAGCAGACACGGGGACTGAAGGGAATGGGGGAGGGGAACGAGGGAGTGGTGGGGTGAGTAAGTTAATGTTACTGGAGGGACAGCAGGAGAAGCATGGGAGCATCAAGGGTTGATGGAAGCGGAGGGAGTACTGCTCTCGCACACCCAAGGGGGTACCTTCAGTTACAAAAAAAATACCTGCAGTGGGGGGCATACCTGACTACCAGTGTGAACCTCAGACTTGGGGGAACCCTTGAGTGTGGTGCGAGCAGGTGGGATGACATGAACGAATGAATGATGGATGATGGAAAAATGGAAGGCAGAGGGGTGGCGATACTTATCTGTGAAGGCAGCAGCATCGTCCGCGCAAGCAGGAGGGAGGTCCGCGCAGGCATCGAAACTGGAGTGAGGGTGGGGGGAAAGGAATCGAGTTAGCGCCAGTGGAGGGAGAGGAGCAAGAGGAGAAGAACTATCTAAGCAGGAGGCGTGACAAGCATGCGCGAATGGTCATGACATGAAAGCAGCGCCGGCAGCAGCACACCCAAGGGGAGAACCTTAGTCTGAACCTTACCAGTTAATAACCACACCTGGGCTTAACATTTTTGCACCTGCAAGGGGCGGACCTGTACGGACCTGATACCTGGTACCAAGGAGCTGGGTGTGCTGATGAGCGGACGAGCCGACAAAGCGAAGGCATGCGAAACGCGCGGGTGGGGAGCAGATAGAAGAGGCGGGTCGGAGAGATACTTATCTTTTGATGTTGCCTTGACTGCAGCAGAACGGACGTTGACTGCAGCAGAAAGGCGTTGACCCGAGCAGAACGGAAGCTGACCCGAGCAGACGGACGTTGACCCGAGCAGCACCAGGGATCTTTAAGGGATGCAACTTGGCTCTGCAAAGGAACGGGTGAAGGAGGTGCGAGGGACGGAAATGAGTACAAGGGACGAGACAAGCGACGATGGGAATGGAATAAACGAGTGAATAGAACGAACAACGAAAGCTGCTGTAGCACACCCTAGGGGGGGTACCTTAGAAATTTTGCACCTGCACTGGGGGGATGTGGGAACTATATATACCTTAGACTCTATACCTGAGACTTGGGGGGGTAGGGTGTGCTACAGGCAGCGATGTGAGACTCAAAAACAGATGACTGGAGTGGAGCGATACTCATCGATAACGTGTGGTGTGGAGCAGCCGGGTTGTCCACTGACGCGCCAGCACGAGCGTTGACTAAAGCGGAACGACATCCGCGTCGACTGGCGCGCATCTGCGTTGACTGGAGCAGTGGCAGTGACGTTGGCTGGAGGCACTGCGAAGGAACGGGGAAAGGAGGGAAGGGAGTGAGTGCAAGCGACGATGGGAATAAAACGAAAGCGCGAAAGCTACGAACAACGAGCGCATCGCTGCTGTAGCACACCCTAGGAGGGGGGTACCTTAGGCTTAATATACCAAGTCCGAACCGGGCTTAAAATTTTTGTACCTGCAGTAGGAGACGGTGGGAATTATACCTTACAGTCTATACCTGAGGCTCGTGGGGTGAAGGGCTAGGGTGTGCTACAAGCAGCTGCAGCGACGTGAAAGACGGGATACTCATTGTAAGACGCGCTCGGAGCAGCTCAATCGTTGCGCGCCTTCACGGATGCGCGGTAATCGTGTCGCCGACTCACGCGTCAGCACGCGCTGTTGAATGAAGGAAGCGCGGCACTGCGAAGGGAACGGGGGAGGGAGGATCGAGGAAAGGGAGTGAGTGCAGTAGACGAGACGACGGTAATGAAACGAGCGAACGAATGAAACGGACCACGACAGCTGCAGTAGCACACCCTAGGCAGAAGGATACCTTAAAATTTTTGCGCTTGCACGGGGAGAAGGTGGAACTATACCTTAGATTCTATACCTGAGACCTGGGGGGGGTGGTGCTAGAGTGTGCTACAGGCAGCTGCAACGACATGAAATGAAAGAAAAAAAAAACATTGCTGTGGGAAGGATACTCATCGTTAAACGGGCTCGGTGCAGATCGGCCGTTGACGCGCCTTCGCGAACACGCCTTCACGAATCGAGTCGTCGACGGAGGGCCGCGATGGAGGGTCGCGATCTTCACGGAAAGTGGCGATCTTTAACGAAAAGTCGCGATTCCGAAGTAAGACTATGTCTGCACGACAATAAATGCGAACGAAATTAGTCATCATATCATTTGAAACAACAAACGAAAGCGAGCCAAAAAACGGCAGTAACACGGATACGTACAGGCGAAGCTCCCGCAGGCGCAGGAGAATCGTGGGTCGCGCACGCCGAGAAAACAGTGGACGTGGATCGCGCGCAGCGTGGCGCATTGCTCGCGCAGCGTCGCACATTTGGGTCGTGGAAACGGCAAGATGCCGTGAAGGTGAAAGTTTGTGCAGCGAACGTGCAGTGTCGCACTGCTCGAAGGCTAGAAGTGTGCGAGCAAAAGAGGAGCGTCATGGTTCCTGCAGTAGAGGCCGCGGTTGAAGA